GAGGCCTCACAAGAGGGCCCGACAGGACAAACTCATAAATGTTACGATGGTTTTGGAAGGATTTTGGCCTTGTCGCCTTTTCGGCCATCCGATGCTCCAAGACGGCCCAAGAGGCCCCCCAAGAGCGCCCCAAGACGGGCCAGGAGGCTTCCAAGAGGGCCCAAGAGGGCCCCGAGACGGCCCAAGAGGCGCCCAAGACGGCTCAAGACGGCCCCAAGACGGCCCCAAGAGGGGCCCAAGAGGGGGACCACGAACCGAAAACTCGAGCCTGCCGCCCCAAGAGGGCCCCAGGAGGCCCCGAGAGGTCCCCAAGAGGCCCCCAAGCGGCCCCAAGATGCCGCCAAGAGGCCCCCAAGAGGCCCCAGGTTGCCCCCAGGAGGCCCAAAAGAGGCCCCAAGAGGCCCCAGAAGCTCAAAGATGCCTCCCAGGCGCCCCCGAACGGCTTCTCAAAAGACCCCAAGAGGCCTCCCAAATAAGCATCGACGACGACCCTGTTTGGCCCCAAGAGCAACTCAAGATGCCAACGAGAGGCTTCCTCCTCCTCCTCCTCCTCCTCCTCCTCCTCCTCCTCCTCCTCCTCCTCCTCCTCCTACTTATCTTCATTCTCCTCCTCTCCTTTTCAGCCTCTCCTCCTCCTCCCCTCCCTTCCCCATCCTCATCTTCCTCCTCCTCCTCGGCGGCGCCACAATGGCCACGGGCCCACGGCGAAGCAGTAGCGATCATGCAACATGGGCCGGCGGAATAAGCGAAGCGATTGAATAAATTGTGAGGACGTCCCACGAGAGAGCGCGATTCTTGCATAAATCGTGAGGACGTCCCGCGCGAGAGCGCGATTTGGGAATCAATTGTGACGACGTATCGAACGGGAGCCATTGTTGTGATAAACCAAGGGCCAGGGGCACAAGTTGGTGGCCACCCACTGTCCCTTGTATGAAAAATAAATGGTAACCCCGGAAAGAACACTTTGATCGAACAATACGCTATTCACCAAAGGGGGATCAACAATAATTCTGATTGTTTCTTGTGGCAACAGAACTCAACAACCACAACCACAACATTAACAACAACAACAACAACAACAACAACAACACCAACACCAACAACAACAACAACAACAACAACACATCACAACAACAACAGCAGCAACAACAACAACAACTACACCTACGACTGCAACTGCAACAGCAACCGCAAACATATAAGCCAACAACAACAGCAGCAGCAACAACAACATCAACAAAACACAAGAACAACGACGACAGCAACAACAACACCAACCATCATGTTACCCTCATGCGCGATGCTCCCACACGAAGCATGCGACCATCATAGTAACCATCCCCATCATGGGGGACTCTGGTTCTATAGTGGGGTCCGTTCTTCCCATTCCCAGATCTCCCGCCCAATGAGGTCTTGCAAACACCTCCTCCGAGGAATTTCAACATATCCCGCCTCGAAAACACATGCCCGCGCCTTTCTGCGCCGATGCGAGACCGCCAGTGGAGCCCCAGCCAAGGGTAAAACACAAGGAAGTATCGAGCGACAGGATTATCTTGGTAGGGATGGGGGCTGTCGGCGGCGAGGCAAGGACCTGGCCCTGAATAGAAAGGGAGGAAGTCTCGAGCAGGGCCGCTGTTGTTGCTGGGAACGGCGCCAATGCTGAAGAGAGTAGGGCGCTAGTCCGGCGTAGAACAGGACGAAGTCTCGACCGGAAACGCTGGTTTGTTGTGACGGCGGTTGTCGGCGGCGAGGAGGAACACCGCCTCGAGTAAGAAGGGAGGAAGCCTCGAGCGGGAGCCGTGGTTTTGTCGGGGCGGCGGCTGTCCGCGGCGAGGAACTGCGCGGTTTTCGGCGGCGAGGGGGAGCACCGCCTTGAGTAAAGGAAGGGAGGAAGTCTCGAGCGGGAGCGTTGTTGTTGCTGGGAGCGGCGCCGATGAGAGAACGAATAGCGCGCCAGCCCAAGGTAAAACGAGAGGAAGTCTCGAGCGGGAGCGCTGGTTTTGTTGGGACGGCGGCTTTCGGCGGCGAGCAAGAGCACCGGCCCTGAGCAAAGAAGGAGGAAGTATCGAGCGGAAGCGCTGTTGTTGAACATTATTACTTTTAAAGAATAATTATTGTTGGGGCCCCTGGTGCACGACCCCCCCGCCGCGCCTAGGCCGCAGCCTCATTTTCATCACTTTCGCGAGGAAGTCTCAGGCAAAACGGGTTGGTCCGGATCCGGTTGTGTTGTTACGATCGGTTTTCCCTTGCAAAAAAAAGCTAAAGTGGACATTTCTTGTTCTAACATAACCAAACTTCAAGAATCCCTTGCAAAAAAAGTAAAGTGGACATTCGCGCGCGCAAGACGAAATCCTTCCAAAACCTTAGTTTTCGTAGCGAATTTAACATAAAAGCATCAAAAAACCAATCGTTTTTCAAAAAAAAAAAAAAAAATGTCAAAATTTCATCCCGCGCGCTCTTGCGGATTAGTAGGAAACCCAACACTTTTTAATCATTTCTGTCAAACGGGCTTTTGCGAGCAACTTTTTCGAACTTCTGCAACAACGGTTGCGCACCTGCCAGGGCCATCATCCCTGTCAAATAATACCATGCGGGACACATTCGTTTTTTCTTCGCGCGCGCACGCCGTCGTCGTCGGCCGCGGGGCCCTGAATAGTAGCCACGGTCGTCCGCATGCCACGAAGTGAAGTGTCCGAACGTCATAGGGCGGGAAGCTGGGTGTGGGTGGTGGCGAAGAGTCGTTTGGAAATTTGGTAGAGCTTGAACCGGCCCCCCCACAAAGTGGGGGTATTGCCCGCCTCCTATGAAAACCCTGGCACTGGTGAGAACGGTGTGTCCCCACGTGCTAGTAATTGAACATTATTTCTTCTAAAGAATAATTATTGTTGGGGCCCCTGGTGCGCGACCCCCCCGCCGCGCCTAGGCCGCAGCCTCATTTTCATCATTTTCGTGAGGAAGTCTCAGGTAAAACAATGTCATCCAGATCCGGTTGTTTTGTTGTCCCCCGTTTTCCCTTGTAAAAAACACTATAAAATGACATTTCTTGTTCTAACATAACCAAAATTCAAGAATCCCTTGCAAAAAATAAGGTAAAGTGGACATTCGCGCGCGCAAGACGAAATCCTTCCAAAACCTTAGTTTTCGTAGCGATTTTAACATAAAAACATCAAAAAACCAATGGTTTTTCAAAAAAAATTGTCAAAATTCATCCCGCGCGCTCTTGCGGATTCGTAGGAAACCCAACACTTTTTTAACATTTCTGTCAAAAGGGCTTTTGCGAGCAACTTTTTCACGTGCTTCGAACTTCTGCAACAACGGTTGCGCACCTGCCAGGGCCATCATCCCTGTCAAATAATACCATGCGGGACACATTCGTTTTTTCTTCGCGCGCGCACGCCGTCGTCGTCGGCCGCGGGGCCCTGAATAGTAGCCACGGTCGTCCGCATGCCACGAAGTGAAGTGTCCGAACGTCATAGGGCGGGAAGCTGGGTGTGGGTGGTGGCGAAGAGTCGTTTGGAAATTTGGTAGAGCTTGAACCGGCCCCCCCACAAAGTGGGGGTATTGCCCGCCTCCTATGAAAACCCTGGCACTGGTGAGAACGGAGTGTCCCCAGTCTTAAATGATTGTTGTTGTTGTTGTTGTTGTTGTTGGGGGGCCAATTTGGGCGCCCCCCCAAACCGCTCGAGCGTGAACCTCATTTTCAATGAAATGTAGCCGGCGCCGAAGCGAGAGCGCCAAAGCACAATAATACTTGTTCAGTAGATAACATTCAACAACAAACGCAGCAGCAGCAGCAACAGCAACAGCAACAATACTCTGGGAATAGTTGGGCACTTGAGGGCTGCCTTGGGCTCTTGGGGCCCGCCAGGCCTCGCAGTGCGCTCTTCAAGCCTCTGGGGGGCCTTGAAGTCCTCCCGAGACTGGCCTCAAGACGATTTCACCGTTAGAGCCTCTCACAAACTAAAAGCGACAAAAAAGCATCGGGCAGTCCCCACCGCCAGAAAGACCTGGAGCCAAACCCGTCTCCTCATCATTTTCTTTTTCCCCTCCTCCCCACTTCATCCCCGCCTCTTGATCATCCCGTCTCTTCCACGACTCTAATCAGTTGCAAGATCTTCACGGATTGAGGGCGGGCAGTTTTCAAAGTGTAGCTCTCGCATTAGCGCCGCAAACACTTTTTGGATTCAGGGCGGGTAAATTTCAAACTGTGACTCTCGCCTCCGGGCCGCGCACACTCGTTGTCACAATTCGAAAAAGCTTGACGGATTGAAGGCGAATCGTTTTCATAATGTGGCTCCCCCCTCAGCGTCGCGCACATTCACTGTAAAAGTTGCAAGAGCTTTACAGATTGAGGGCGGGTCGTTTTCAAAAGTTGACCCTAGCTGTAGCGCCGCGCACACTTGTTTTTAACATGTACAAAAGCTTCACGGATTAAATGTGGCTCTCGCCTCAGGGCCGCACACATGTTCTGCAAAAAGCTGGAAGAGCTTCACATATTGAGGGCGGGTCGTTTTCAAAATCTCGCCCTCGCCCTAGCGCCGCGCACATTTGTTTTGAGAACTAGACAGGACTTCAAATTACTCTCATGGTCAACGCACTAAAATGGCGTTTTGGAACGATTCAGGATGTCAGGGCGCAACAGTTACGTTGACTCGAGGTATTAGAGTCCCAGGCATGGTGTTCTGGCACGACTCCGGATCGCCAACACGTAACAGTCAGGTTAACTCGTGGCGTTGGAGACCCTAAGAATGGTGTTTTGGCACGCTTCCAAATGTTCACACGGTTCTCCTCCAACGGGGCAAGTTCCTCCGTTGGATTAACCCCGTGTAACTGGGGGCCTATGATGAAGGCTCTTCGAGGGAGGGTATATTTCAACATCGTTGGCGAGTCTTGGGTTTACACTGGTTCTTCTCCTCCTCCTCCTCCTCCTCCTCCTCCTCCTCCTCCTCTCCGCCCAACATCCTCATCCTAATCCAACTTCTCATGCAGCACAAGCTCGCCTTCTGCTCGTACGACGACATGAAGCGGTGGCGGGGCTTCGCCTTGTCCATTACCTCCATCGTACCCAGGAAGGGGGCCGACAGACGAAAGACACGGAGGAGGGCGAGGAGGACCAGGAGGAACACGAGCGAGTGGAAGGATCCAGGGGATCCGATCGAGTCTGGGTTCAAATTTGGAAGCTGATGGATCAAGTACTGCGTGTCGTAACGCGGAACAGCGCAACTCCGACGATCTCGACCTCTGTCCGCGGGCAGGCTATCCACCCAGAGCCGTTCGGACCGCCCCATAGGGGGCCTGGCAGCGGCCAACGGAGGCCGAAACACATGGATCGGCTGGCCGCCACGCTTTGTGCTGCGGCTCGTCCTTGGCTTGTGCGCGGCTCCTAGGCAGCTCGCTGGCACGCCGCCGAAGCTCGCTTCACGGCGTGCCAGCGGCGAAGCAGGCTCGTTTCTGGGGGTGCTGCCGGCGTCCGCTAGAGCGGCAGCGCGCCCCTACGCTTAGGTCGGGCATGTCCCCCTACAGAGGGGTTTTGGACGAAAAATGGGAAATACTCGAACAATACCCCCAAAAGGTCAAAAAATGCTCAACAAATCGTCCCCAGACTATGTTTTTGACTATTTTTGAATACTCCCCCGCCCGTGGCAGGTCCCGTGCGCCGACCGGAGCAGAGCGTGGAGCTGCTCTGGCGGCCCCAGTGGGGGGGGCGCCCTCGACCCAGGGGTCGCTCACGTCGCAGGCCCCCGTTGGATGGGCGGTCCACGCCTCGCGGTGCGCCCCCACTCGAGCTCCAGGATCGCATCGCCCGCGTGCGGCGATGCATCGCCGACCCGGGGTACCTCAGGGGCGTTGGCCTAAGGAACCCTAAATCAGGAACGAGACCCCTTTTTCCCACAAGTTGAACTTCGATTTTCCCATCGAAAACCAAAAGAAAACCGAAGGCAAACTGTGAAGCAATCAAGGAACACGGAGCGCCTCTCCGACGAGAAGGGCTCCTCCTTCAGGGCCCCGACGGTACGACCCAGGAGGATCACCTTGCTCTGACCCGCACTGTTCGGGCAGCGCCGAAAGCCCGGTGCACCAGAACAGTCGGACAGATGGTCTTGGCCAGGCCTCGAAACGAAAGGTGCACCGCCAAGGGAGGAGGAGGAAAAGGCGGAGGAGGAGGAGGAGGAGGAGGAGGAGGAGGCGGAGGCGGAGGAGGAGGAGGAGGAGGAGGAGGAGGAGGAGGAGTTTGTGGGGGGGGGGGCCTCAGCGCTCGAGCCGCGCCATCAGCCGAGACAGCCCAGTGACCCCAGAGCAGTCCAACCCCTAAGAGGAAATAAAAAAACGAAGAACGTGCCCAAAAGTGCGGTTCAATACTTACCTGTGGGGGGGGGCCAGCCAGCCAAGTGCTCCCCGATGTTTCAGGACCCCGCTCGCTGGTCGGGGCTTCGCTCAGAAAAGGTGCACTCGCTGCTCCTGCCCTATTCTCGGGCTTTACCAGAGGTGCCCCTGGCCCAAGGCGTCCCAAGGGGCCCAGGTGCTCCAAAGTGGCGCAAATCTCCTCCTCCCCTCCTCCTCCTCCTTTCCTCAAGCAGTATGTATGGCTCCTGGACCCTAAAAACCATTGCGGCGCAACTCCCGAATAAGCCTCGAGCCTCGATCTGCGGATCCTGCTCCTCGCCGCCTCCTCGCCGCCTCCTCCTGCCTGGTCCCCTGCCTCGTCCCTGTGAGAGGGGGGGTCGTCAGGAGGGGACTGGCTCGGGGAGGGAAGAGGCAACATCGAGCTTGAATCGGCGATGAATCACAGGTAGATCGGCGAGAGCGAAGCCACACGCTCCTGGACGGGGTGGGCCATCGGGCCCCTCTCGGCGATGAACAGACCATTGGGGGTCGATGCTTACCCCTCTTCGCCTATCCCCCTCCCCCTTGACGTTGCCACTGACCGCCTCCCCCTCGGAGATCCTCTGACCCGGGTCGATCCAGACCCGGGCCAATCAGGCCTTGCAGAATCCTGCAAGGTCCTGCAAGATCCTGCACCCAAACCAGGGTCAACGCGAAGGATCCTGCAGGATCCTGCACCCAAACCCGGGTCAGTGCGACCCTGGCCCTGCAGGATCCTGGAAGATCGGGCGCTCTGGCTGACCCCCGTCTGCATTGACCCCCGTCTAGGCCCCCGACCCCCTCCTCCTGCCCCGTCCCAGTGCCAGGCGCCCCGTGGACGGACGGCGGGGCGAGCGCGCGTCTGGACACACAGAACCAGCCCCGCCTCCAGCGCTTAAGCCTTGGCCCCGCTGGCCGACCTGCCCCCCTCGGGTGGCACCGGGGGGCAACATCACTCGGATCCCGCAACACCCATCCCCACAGAAGGGGAGGGAGGCAGCTGGGCCGGGGAACGTACCCTGTCAGCCGGAGATTTGAATGGTTCTGACGTTGATGACTGCGGGGGGGAGTCGTATGCGCATGGGGAGGTCGGCGGGGGCTGTCCTTCTCATGGCGCGTGGGGGTTACGTCGCGAGGGTAGAGGACAACAACTCCATGAACAGACACGTTCGGAGGTCAGCGCGAAATCCTTGGTTCTGCGCTGCCGTGACGTCGGGGGTACCAAATCGGCTGCGCCGAAGTGAGAGGGCAGGACGAGAAGGATTGTGCGCCGACGATGAGAGGGCCAGGCAACGAGTTGAAGGAAGAGGAGAGGGCCAACTGATATCCACGCCCACCTGGTTTTCAGCTCCCCCTCCTTTTCGACGCCTCCGACCCGAACAACAACGATCTGCGAACATTCGAAAACCTCATTCCCGAACATCCGACGATGTGATTATTTCAACGAGCGGCCCCAGGAGGTCCCGACCTCTTCCCCAGCGGCACGTCTTCGACACAGAAACAACGCTCGATACGTAGTCCCAGTGGCCCTGGAACCCAAAATCTTGGGGAGCAATAACAGACCGATACTGCTACTCCCCAAGGTGAAGATTGCCGCGGCGACGAGTCAAGGGCAGCGCCATCATAATCCTTGTCTCTTGTAGAAATCGAGGATGCTGCCCAGATTGAAACATGTTCCGAGCAGAGCACCCCAATAGTAGCACAGGTGGCTAGGTGGGTCGAAGAGTCGGAGGTCAACTGTACAGGTATAAGAACACGGCCATGTGCACCCCTGTACTTGCTACACATAATCGTGGCCGTCGGGACCCCTCGTTCTCGCTCGTGCGCTCTCCTCCGATCACCCTCAGCGTGTCGCATGATTCACAGCTCGGAGAACTCGATCGAATCGACCGATACCCTGCTATCGCTGCCGGGTTCCCGCTGCAACTGCTCTGGGGGACGGGCGCTCCTTTTGCTTGGAAACAAACGCGGGCGCTAAGGTAAGCGTGTCAGTACAGTAAGCGTGTTCAACCACAAACCATGTATATGCGTAAATATGGAAGTGCCACTCGCTCACGAGCGACTGCATCAAACAATCGCATCCCGTCGAGGGTCGTCGGGCCGTCGGTGCCCTGGCACGGCCCAGGAGCTCCTGCTTCTGCTTCTCGAGGCGGATCGCCTTGACTTCAGCGCGCAGCTCCTTCTCCTTGGACCGAGTAGTGCGCCGCATAGACGGCAACGCAGCTTCTCCTTGTACTGGTTGGCGCCCACAATCGAGAGCTGATCGGCAGGGTGCACGCACTCGTCTGGGTCGACTCTGCTTGAAGTCCTGAGCTTGCCCTTTCCTTTCCCCGTGCCTTTGCCCTTCGGGATGTCTTCCGTGTCGCGACTGGCTCTGCGGCACTTGCTGCATCCGGCAACCACCTGCAAGTATGCCTCTAGGACATCTTGATCCAGTACATCGCCCAGGTCGTGCTCCGCCTGCCTGTAGGATGCATACTTCGACCGTTCATGCTGTCTGCGAGCCTTGTCCATTGGTAGCTCCGTAGTCTTCTTCCTGGTGGTCAATCCTCCTGACTGCTCGGCCTGCCCTGGAATCTCGACCGATTCATCACCATCGTTCGGTACAGGGATGTTGTGGTTGGCCTTCTTGCGGGTCCTCGGCTGACACTCGCACTGGTCCGCCACCATCCGACATGCTGCACATGCCACCAACGCAGCACTAGCTCCAGCGGCGCCTCCTCCGATCTCCTCGGTCTCGGCACCCGCGGCGTCCGCCATGTTGATCTCCTTCACGTCGTCCAGATCCACCGGCTCGTCCGCGTTCTGGTTCTCGCCCGACGTGATGTTCACGTCCTCGTAGTGCTCGATGTCATCGGTCGTGTCCGTCTTCTTCAAATTATGCTTCTCCGTGAAATCCTTCTCGTAGCGCTCGAGAGCCTCCTTGTTTGGTGCGTATATCGTCAGCAACTTGCGCGCATGGGTCGGAATCCCCCGACGCTTCGCCACTATGCCCAGCCCCGACCAATCGACCATGTCTTTGAGCTTCTCGCAGTAGACGTCGCCCTCGCGCTGGCCCAGCATCATCCGCCAACGGAGGTAGTGCTTGGGCGCTGGTCGAGCTGCGCGCGCACCGCACCTCCAATCCGCGATGCATTCCTCGAAGAAGGCGCAGCCTTCCCGTGCGACGGGCTAGTCGGCAGGCCGATGCCGGCGAGGACACTTTGAGCCGTTGTACTCGCCCCTTTGACCCTTCAGCTCCATCCGTTGCTCAGAGATCACCTGCTTTGCCATGGGGCACTTCGTGCTCTCGTCCGTCCGGAGCACGCGCCTCATGCAGTCGCCCGCGCGGGCGCCCTGCATGGTAAGACAGTCGGCAAGCATCTGAATGGCGTTCACCCACTTGCTCGCCACGTTGGTCGACTCTGTGTCGTTTCTGAGCGACTCGATGTCGATGAGAAGCCGCTTCTCGGACGGGACCGCCGCTCGCTTCTGCGGCAAGTCATAGAGCGACTTACACTCCGCGACCTCCACCACTTCGATCGCCTTTACGTCGTCCATGTGGGTCCGGTAGCCCAGCCCGTGGTGCAACTCCACCAAGTGCTGTCTCAGCAGGTCGCCACTCTCGACTGCTTCCACAGCTGCCAGTGTCTTGGCTGCCATGTACGCCGCACAACTCGCTTGATGCGATATGATCGCCTCAACATCGGGGTAACCTTAGCAGGCTGCCCACGCAGGAGCTGATCGTCAGTGCTGTCCGCGAGCAAGATGACCAGGCCAGCCTGGCCAACGGTCCTCGTCTTGCCCACGTTCCCATGGCTCGAGCCCCCCACTGCCACCACAATCGCGTTGTCCAGCTTCTGAAAGGTTATGTCCACGCGGTCGGTCTTGGCGTCGCTCACGAGCTTGTTGAAATCCAGCAAGTTCTGCACCTTCAAATCACTGTCGCTAGCCCGAGCTTGACTTTCCACCAGCCGGAACGGACCAGCCACTGAATCTGGTCGTTGCCACTGTGATGTATAGCCCTTTCCTCCGCCGTGGCCATTGCCTCCTTGGACTTGCGACGCTCGGCCGAGATGGGTATATTCTCGATGCTCTCCGTGCAAACCTTTTGGCTGCATGTGATCGCGCCGTCGCCGTTCTGCTTGAGGAAACGCCCGCAATGGTGGGAAATGGTCGTCGCCGTTTGCCACTTGCCGCAGCAGCACCTCCCTCTGCTCGGCCAACTGGTTCGAGATGAACTCGGGCGATCCCGCGACGAGGTCGTCGTCGACCTGCGCCCCGATCAGGCCGATTAGCTCCCCCCTCTCGTCGCGGAAGATGAATAGGGCCGGGCGCAGCTCGGATCTCGAAGCCCCGGGAAGCGACAGGATGGCGTCGCGATGCTCCTCGTACCACAGCAGCGGTGCATCGTTCGACCCGTAGATCCCCCATTCGCCTTCAGGACAGTCCCTTCTGGGACGAATGGCCATCCCATCTCTGGCGCCGCGGGCGCGCCGCCTTTGGGAACACGGAAGTACACGCTCCTGAAGCTGTCGACATTTCTCCCAGTCAAAACTGCCGAATCCACGTCGCCCTGCTAGAGACTCCAGCCAGACTGGCAGGCAGCTTCCTGGATGATCACCGCCGTGGCAGCGTCCGCGAGCGTCGGTGCGTTCGTCTCCCACTCGCCCGCGAACAACTGCATGTCCTTGTAGCCCGGGGCGATGTTCCGTGACTTCGCCTTCAGCGGATGCTGCTCAAACTCCCTTTCACTCGGCCACTCCACAGCGTCGCACTGAACCCGCTTACGCCACTCTTCCAGGTCACTCGCATCGAATGCCGTCCTCCACTCTGGCGGAGTGCTGCGTAGTTGCCGACAACTCTTCGGGGCGATCTGCTTCTTCGCGGCGTCAGTCCTCCTGGCCGCGAATGCGTCCCTCGAGCAATTCTTCACCTTGAGGAAAGAGTACTCCGTCGTCGATCGTCGTCCTCGATCTCCGGGAGACGACTGTGCTTGAGAGCTTCGCGGCGCACGCGGAGGCGTCCGCGATCTGCTTCGAAGTCGTCTGGCAGTGATCGCTTGCACAGGGGCCCTCGAGGACCAGGCGGCGGTGCAGGTGCTGGCTGTCCTTCTCGCCCAGGCTGTTGCTGCGGATCGCTCGGCACAGCGGCCGCGCCCAGGTCCGTGGCACGCCCCCGCCCAATTGCATCAGGCACAGGTGATTCGTTAGCCGTGACATCTTGCATGTCATCTTCATCTCCGGGTCTCTCCTCATCTCTAACGTCCTGGATGTCGTTTCCATCTCCAGGTAGTGGTGGTACTTCGGGTGCGTCCTCCTCCTTGATCTGCTTCTCTCGCTTGGGAGTAGCCTCGTGCCTCCTCGGGGGAGGCAGTGGAGCTCCCTCTGCCCGTGGCGTCTTGTTAGCCGGAGCGTCGCCCACAGCGTCCTCGGCGTCCGCGTCGCCGTCGTCCTTCTTGCGACGCCTGTCGCGCTGGCCACCGCTCACGTCAGGCCCAGGCCCACGCTCGTCCACGAAGCCCTTCTGGAGGGTAGGTCCTCCGCGCCACTGCGACAGTTGTCTGACTAGGCCCTCGTTCTCCACCATCTCGGCTTCACCGCGAGAAGCATGTCGCACCTGCTCAGGAGCCGCGAGAAGCGGCACCCCACGGTAGCTGAGGTGTAGCGCCTTGCATGGCCCTCGGCTGCCAGCACAATGGCTGGGCCGCGCCGCCCGTGCTCGCCCTGTAGCCGATTCCAATTCACGTGCCTCACCTCACGCAAGTAGAACGCCAGCTGGCCCGGCCCGCACGGCCCGCGCGGCGGGCGATACCGACCAACCGTAGCCCTTCTCACTGCCCCATCGCTGTCCAGCTCGAAGACCGCCCATTCGCCGCAGCGAATCTGCTCGGCCCGCCTGGGACCGTCCTCGAAAAATGCTGCGCCCTTCGCCGCCAGCTGCCTCCGATCGCCCTCCATCGCCTCGATGAGCGAGGCCGGGGCGTGAGGCGATCGTCCCAGTACATACTGATAGGGCGTGAAACCATTCCGTCGGATGCGGTTGTTGCGCGTACTCGCTATCACCGAAGTCCACGCGGATGGGTCGTCACTCTTGGCGAGCTGCATATCGCGGTTCAGGCGCTTGAAATGGTCTTTGCGAAGAAACCGATGGCCCGTTCCACTCTGCCTTCGAGCTGAGGCGCCTCTGCCAGAACTGGCCACGAAAGGATTTTGCATTTCTCGCCGATCTCCACGAGACGCTGCATGACGTGGCCCTTCGCTGCATCGTAATATGTTACCTTCGAAGTGCCAGCCCATGATAGCCATCCTTGCGAGAAGCAGCGAAGGCTCCCCTCACCATCATGGATCGCACTGCCGCAGTAGGTATGATGACCCTGAAGCTCGACGCGTCATCCACAATCACCATCGCCATCAACCGTGCCGTGCCCGAACGAATCACATCGGCTTCGTCCAGAAACACATTCTCGTTGAACTCCGTCGAGAGCTTCAGGTTGGCCGATCTCGTCGTGCTGGGCCCCCCGAGCTCCTCGCACACGACACGATCCATCTTGTCCACCACGTCGAGCACCTTCTGCGGCACCCCGTAGGACTTCAGGCGTCGCGTCAGCGCGTGTGCCGACGGATGGCTCAGGTTCAAGTGGGGCTTCCTCAGGGCGCCCCACTGACCCGTGGTGATGTGCGGAGGTTCAACGCCAAAGCTCTCACCTTCGCGATGTAGGTCTCGATGTACTGCGTCTGATTCACGATCGTCGGGCTTGAGTGCTTCTGGTCGGCTGCCGAGAAGGGGTACTGTCGCGGGGAAGGCTGTCTGCAACTTCGGCTCCTTCACGTAGATCGCCACCACCGTGTCGGTTGGATACCTTGCGGCCAGCTCGACCGACGTGACATTCGGGTCGTCCGCGTAGGCGTCGGAGAAGTCGGCCGGCACGCCCTCGTCGGTGCACATGGCGCAGATGCGCCGCGCTGCTCCGCGAGGCACAGGGATGGCCTCGTTCTGCCTCAGCACGCGCACGTCGATCAGGTCCTTCCCCAGCTTGGACTCCTCGGCCACCGCGCGCATGGTCCTCTTATCCAGAACCCTCGTCGCATCGTCTCCGATACCGAGCTTCTCCAGGTCGGTGCGCCGCGCCAGCCCATGAGCACCAGCACTCGCCAGGGTCTTCTCCAGTATGTCCGGCCAGGCGCTGGCCCGCGAGAGCAGCGCGCCTCGTCCGACCGCGTCGGCACGTTCGCGGCGCTGGTCGCGTCGAGCCACCACGGAAAACATGAATCGCTGGGTGATAGCATGCGCGTGGCCTTCCGAATCTGCGCACAGTTGTCATCCGCCAGTCCGAACACGCACTGGTGTAGCGCAACCATCTCGCACACTGGAGGTCGCTCACCAGGCCAACGCAACAGATCCATGATCGGCTCCTCGTTCCGTTCCAAGCACGGCTCGTGAAGCGGCTTTCGCTGATGCAGATGCGTCCACCTTCAGCTTGAATCCGGAACACCTTCGCCGAAAAGTCAACCAATGGCCTGAACTCATCGATGAGGTCGCCCACCCGGTCGCCCATGCCCTGAGCTCGCTGAAACTCTCGCAGGTTCGAGAAAGGTGCGCGTGGGAACGCGACCGAGACCATCTGGGGCTCGAAGGTCTTTATCAGAAATTCAAAATCCGACTGGGTCCGGGGGCCGTTGAAATTAACCCCGACCGACGCATCCGAGGGGGTCGCGTTCGCATGACCACCCTTCGAGGCTACGCGAGAAAAATGAGCGCCCTTCGCTAACATCTCCCACGGGAAGGTCTTCAGGTTGTCCCGCAGCACGTCGAAGATGACAGGATGCCCCTTCATCAGCTTGTCGGTCCGTTCGAGCGTGCCCTTATTGAATATGCCCTTGCTGCCGTTCTTCAGAAGCTCCGCGACCCGAGCCGGCGCGCTCCTTCACTTGGAAGCCCGGATCGTACTCCTGCAGCGTCTCCGCGACCATGTACGCGCCCAGCTCGAGCTGCATCTCGCCCACGCGGAACCTCTCGAAGAAGGGCTCCGACTCGTGCGATTCACGGTCGTAGTCGAAGAGGTCGAGCCCAGCACGCCCACCAGGCAGCTTCACCAGCTCCTTGCCGTGCACCCCGAGCCCCTGGAAATCCGCCCAATGGCCGTTCTCGCGCATGTAAAGATTCGCCCCCAACTCAGCGAAGTCCTTCCTGCTCGTCAGACCGACCATGTCGCCAAGGATCTCGAAGAAATTACTCCTGCAGCACGTGCTTCTTCCCGATGCCCGCCGGGATGATCCACTTCAGATTCGACTCGCGTCGTGCTCCACCGAGTCCCTTGAACTTCTGGTGCGCTTCCACCTTGATAGGCCTGGCCGTGCTTTGCCAGCTCTGCCTCGACGCGATCAAGCCATCCGCGCCCGGCAACTGCGATCGAGGCTCCGCTGTCCACTAGGGAGGCCGGCACGAGGTCGCTGGAGATCATCAAATCGAGCTCGGGCATGTCCGGCACGATCGGATCGCTGTCCAGGTTCCCCACCATGATGTCGTAGCCTCTCGAGCAGCACGTGGATGTAGTTCGCGCCCGGGCCTCGCATCTGGCGCCTCGCGCCCACGCGCGACGGCGCTGCGCGCGCCAGAAAGCTCATTGCCCAGGATCCAAAACGTCGTGGACGAGAGTCGACTTCGATCCTTTACCACGGCGCTTGCCATTGATTGGCTTCCCCGCTTGCCCGCTGACCGATGCGTCGCGGTCCATCCGACCACACCTGCTACAGCGCTTGTCCTTCAACTTGCCGCCGCCCTTGCCCTTTCCTTTGAATATGCCGGGGTTCTCGCCCGCTGCCTGGCCGCTGGCTGCCGCGCTCTCGCCCACCTCGCCGTCGATCCTTCCATTGAAGAACCCCCCTGCCGCCCGCAACTCGTTCATCTCGAGGCGGCTCTCTCTGTCGTCGCGACGAGGCTCTGGCGGTAGTCATCGTCTTCTCCAGCCAGCAACGCGCCAGCTTCATCCTCGAGGTAGAACAAGGGACTGGTGCCCCAATCTCCCTCCCCGTCTTCCTCCGCGCACGCGTAGACTCCGCGATCATCGCCCTATTCATGCCAGTGCCCGTCCTCGTCCTGGACCCAGAGCTCACCGTGGTGCGGGCCAACTCCATCAACTTGTCCGTTCTCAGTGGTGCACTGCCCACTTCCAGCCCGCCCACGTGCCTTGCCCTCGGCGCCTACTTTCTCCGCGAGGGAAGAGATTCTTCAGCGTCGTCGAGATCTTCCCAAAATTGAACGTCTCATCCGCCCTCGCGAACGCCAGGTTACGTAAGTCCGTGTCCAAGACGCAAAGCTTCAGCGCGTGGTACCCTAGCTCGCTCGAGCTGATATTCGCGCCCGGGCCCGCTTCCCCCAAGTTCCGTCTCGCCACCTCCATAGCCGTAGAAAACGCCGCCATTGGCTCCTCGCCTTTCCTCTCGAAGTGTGCGAGGTCGAAGAACGCGTCGAACGCCTTCGGCAACTCATGGAAACTGCTCTTCGCGAAGCGTTCGGTCTCTAGAAACTTCAGCAGAACGTTCGCTCCATCCACCGCGGCGTAATCTCTCGGGTCCGTCTGCTCGATCAGCACACTGATCGAATTGTCTGCGCCGAGGAGGTACCGATACAACTTCGGGCCCAGGGCTGTGCGTTTTTCCTTCGACTCGCATCCTGGCCCCGCCGCGTGCACAGCCCCATTGTACCTGGGGAAATCCTTCAACGCGTCGCCGTTCAGCACCAAGATCTTGGGACCAACGGATATGTTGTAGTTCTCTCCACTTGCAACGGCACGTGGGGATGGCTAGTCCCCGCAATCTCGTCCTGGAGTCCGTGGGGCCAACCACGGAGCTCCGCTACCGACCTAGTTATCGCTCGTGCTCTCTCCTCCGATTACCCTCAGCGAGTCGCAGGAGTCACAGCTCGGAGAACTCGATCGAATCAACCGAAGACCTGATATCGTTGCCGGTCTCCCGCTGCATCTGCTCTGGGGGACGGGCGCTCTTTTTGTTTGGGCCCAAACGCCGGCGCTAAGGTAAAAGTGCCAGTACAGTGAAACGGGTAAAATGGGTCTTGGCCGCCCGCAGTCCACAGGACCGAACGTGTAGGCGGCATCAAGGCAAAAACACGATTGCTGCGTGCATTGTGGGGAGATCTCTGGCGAAACGACTGCCGCACCAGGTGCCCTCGGGCTCCCCGACCCCCCTTGTGGGACTTTTCTCTGGTCCTTACTGTGCCAATCTTGAGACCCTGTAGCAACAAGGCTACGAAGGATAAGAGCAGAACTGTCAGCGAAGGATCCGAAAACTCATTACCGGTGAACCGACGATGTGATTCTTTCAACGCGCGGCCCCAAGAGGCCCCGACCCCGCCCCCATGAGTTGAACTTCGACCAAGAACCATGATTGATAATCCCTGGTGACCCTGAGACCGAGATCACTTAGCCTTGCGAAGGACCCAACCGTATGCGGTTGTGGGTGCCGCATTTCAGAATATCGTCTTCGGTGGAATTCCCCATGGGGCAGCGAAGGGCGTGAGGGCTATGCCGAAATGAGGGGTGGAACCGCATGCGAATCCTGCCACTGGGGCCTTCGGTGAAGCTCCCCAGAGGGCCGACGAAACGTGTGAGGGGTGCGCCAGACTGGAGGTGGAACCGCATGCGAAGCCCGCCACCGGGGCCTTCGGAGAAGCTTCCTACGGGGCCACGAAACGTGTGAATGGTGCGCCGAAATGGAGGTGGGACCGCATGCGAACCCTGCCATTGAAGTCCCGGTGGAGCTCCCTACGGGGCCACGAAACGAGTGAGGGATGTGCCGAAATGGGGTGGAACCGCATGCGAACCCTGCCACTGGGGCCTTCGGTGGAACTCCCCATGGGCCACGTAACGTGTCAGGGGTATGCCGAAATGAAAGTGGAACCGCATGCGAATCCTGCCACTGGGGCCCCTGGTGGAGCTCCCTATAGGGCCACGAAACGTGTGAAGGGTGTGCCGAAATGGAGGTGGAACCGCATGCGAACCCTTCCATTGAGGCCTTCTGTGGAGCTCTCTATGGGGCCACGAAACGTGTGAGGGGTGTGCCGAAGTGGGGGTGGAACCGCATGCGAACCCTGTCACTGGGGCCTTCGGTGGAGCTCACTATGGGACCACGTTGAGGTTGTGCCGAAATGGGGGTGGAACCGCATGCGAACCCTGCCACTGGGACCTTCGGTGGAGCTCCCACTAGGGCCACGAGACGTGTGAGGGTTGTGCGGAAATGAGGGTGGAACCGCATGCGAACCCTGCCACTGGGGCCTTCGGTGGAGCTCGCTATCGAACCACGAAGCGTGTGAGGGATGCGCCAGAATTGAGTGGAACGGCATGCGAACCCTGCCATTGTGGCCTTCGGTGGAGCTCCCCCTAGGGCCACGAAACGTGTGAGGGGCGTGCCGAAATAGAGGTGCGCATGCGAACCCTGCCTCTGGGGCCTTCGGTGGAACTCCATATGGGGCCATGAAACGTGTGAGGGGTGTGCCGACCTTGAGGATGGAACCGAGGGGGGGCAACTTCGTTAACATGTTCGCAAAATTTTCCGTTCCCATACTCTTAGCATCTTCCGACGGAGTCGCGAGCGCCAGGGACACCAGTTCGGGCAGTGCTCGAGCGCGACGTTTGCCGCCGCTTGTTTAGCCCGCTCAACCAAATGGACGATGGCCCGCTCGAACACACCATCAGCACGCCGCCGCAGATGCCCAACATGCAACACGCCCCCGGATGCATTCAGTGAAAGCGCACAGGCAATCAGTACAGCACCCGAGGCACGCCCACCAACACTGCATGAAATCGCGCACCTGTTCCGGCAAGAGGTCCAACCACTACGGACTGCTATCGTCAGCCTGGAGAACCAGCTCGACACGAAGGTGGCGGCGGTGGAGGAACGCATGGAAAACGTTGAGATCCGCATCACCAAGATGGAGAGCTTGGAACCCCCCACGGACCCACCCGGCGCTCACGAGGACATCATGAACCACATGAAGGCGCTGGAGGTCGAGATCGCGGAGCTGAGAAGCGCCGCCAGCTCCATCGGCACCACTTCCAAGCAGGAGACCTCTGTACTCGGGAACCTTTTAGGTTTCAGTGGCCAGGAGGAGGCAGAGACGTAGTTGAAGGACCAGCTTTGGTGGTGCAATGCCCCGAAAGCCGAGGAGTTTTACTCCAAAGGTAACTTCTCGGGCATCCTCTTCGGCAAGTTCGCGTCCACGGCCGACCGACACTCTGCAGTATCGAAGCTCAGAGCTGTACACGTCTACCTTGAGGACAAGCTGGTATGGGCGCAGGTGGACGCCACTCTCGAGATCAGCGTGCCCCAGTCTTTCTTATTCGGCGCAAAGACCTATTCGTCGCGTGGGGGTTCGGATGCAGGCAAGATAACAATGGGGGGCGATATCGTGTTGGAGGCGAGTACGACGGCAGGAGCTTTGAAGATCAAAGACGGCGACGGCTGGGAACAGTACCTGAGCGCAGACCCGGAGTTGCAAGAACTTCTGAAGACGCACTCCGAGAAGCTTTTGCGAGGCGGCATGGGCAAGGGCCAGGGCAAGGGCAAAGTGGGAAAAGGTGGCGGCGAGGCAGGACAACAGCGACCTGGAGAACTCGATCGTCCTCCACCTGCCCATGCTGCTGCCGACGGCCGCAGCTAGGGACAACGCCGGTCGAGGGGTACAGGAGACGTTTCACAAGAACTCGATATTAAATTAACTTTGACGTCTACGGCAAACATGCACGTGTACAGACTCTTGATAGGATAGGGCTTTTGCTGTGGGAGCTTTCGGAGCTAACGTGGGATGTTTTGTTTTAGCGAGACCCTTGCAGAGTCTGATGACATTGACCTTGACGGGGGTCACCGTTTCATAGCCGCACCTGGCCCATCTAAACCCGCAGGGGTGGCTTCTGTTTGCATGCTCGGCACGCGGGAGGTGTCACAGCTACGCGTGCGCAATATGGCCGAGTGCTAGCAGTTGACATTGATATCCACGACAGTGCTAGCGCGTTCCTTTCTGTACACATGCTACACACTGGGCGCCCGCGCGATGATATGATGCAATGTTACACTTGTTTACAGCAGGAGGTACAGGAGGCGACGCTGGAAAATATGCATAGCAGGTGATTTGAATACGCAGTTTGAATTCGGAGAAAAAAAGGCACTTATCACAAACGTTATGTTTCGAGACCGGCGTAGAAGCCGGCAATGTTCGACATGAGCCTGATGCAGGGACGTTTCGAAGTTCACTTGGCGCCAAGCGGGTCATAGACTATATGCTACTTGATGCTTCGTTTCACGGCCAGTCTTGCTGCCCGAGTGACTGTTTAGATTTAGGCTCTGACCATCGCGCGATTCACAGGGTGTTCAATGTAAGCCCAGCCTCTCGACGCCGGCAGCACAATGCGGTTCGATGGAAACCTTCTTTCAAAGCCGAGAGCCGAGATTTGATGTACGAGAAGATTGTGCTGGAGTCTCCGTCTGAATCTTAGCCGTCTTCATCTTTGGATCTGGAGGGCCACGTCGCTGCGTCAACCGGGCAAGCAGCGACAAATAGCAGTGCGGCTCGTTCGCATGCGAAGCCATGGGACGCGCCTGCACAACGAGAGCTGCGCCGAAGGAGGCGCGAGACACGTGACCCACAAGACAGGTCCAAATCGTCGAAATTGATTTCTCGGGGGCACCGGAAACGCGATGAGCGTGCTGTTTCGCAGCTGCGGGCATTTGAAGGTATCAAGCACTTGCCTCGCGTGCACACGTTTCCGACGCAGCAGAACAAGCGTTGCCCATTAGATCATAATGTGTTTAAGGCTTCTCTCGAACACATTTTTCCACGGACTGCGGCGCTGCCAGAGACGAGTGGGCAGCGGCGCATTGCAACAGAGGTCCATATGATATCGCGCCGTGTCGCATGGAAGAATTGCGGCAAGCTTTTAAGCACATGAAGCGTGGAAAAAGCGCAGATCAATGCGGAGTCAATCTTGGAGTGTTTGCATTTGGTGGCGATGCTCTGCACAGACACCTCTTGTCGTGTTTGAACGCGCTGCTCAGCACAGGGTACATCGATCCCACGTGGCAGGAGACGTGTTGTATCATGTTGCCGAAGACCGGCAGCAGGCATGATGTAAAGAATTGGCGTCCCATTACAGCTTTACGCATAAAATATAAGATATTCGCTCGCTGAGTTTCTCGCATTCACACCCGTTTTAGAGAGGAATCAGACGCATGACCAAGCATGATTTCGACCGGGCCGTTCCGTGGACGATGCATTTGTCGTTCTGGAGGATCTTTGCACGAAGGCCTCGGAGTGGCAGCTCCCACTGTGGATAGCCAGCATTGATCTCAATGAAGCTGTCAACAGGCTGGAGCATCACGTGTTTTTCCAAGCGTTGGTGGAACACGGAGTTGATGTAGAATACGTGCGTCTCTTATCAGACATCTACTGTGCCCAATGGGGCAGCGTTAATGACAGCGCAGCGTTTGACATAACGCGCGGAGTCAAACAAGGCGATGTTTTGTCATCGCTACTTTTCAACGCTGGACTGGAGCACGCATTCCGAAGGTTCAAAATCCGAGCTCAGCAATGCGGCTTCGACGTTGAAGACGTCAAGTTACTCAGCAACGTCTGGTATGCGGATGATACGTTACTGTATGCAAGGTCTGCCGCAGAGGTGACTCGCATGTTGGACATTATTTCCGGAGGATTGTCGGCGTGCGGCCTTTCTTTGAA